GGGAGGGAGGGTGCTGCGGCCCGGTGCCCGCGTTGTCGTTGGGGTCCCCGCCTCCCGCGGTAGCTGTCCTGGGCACGGCGAGCTGGGCGTGAGGATCCCGCCGGGGGTGGGAGCTCCAGCCTCTTTGCTTCCCTATAAGGCCGAGGACGCCACTTCTCAAATTAATTCGTGCCGCTTTTTCTCCTCGGCTTGCTGGAGAAGTCGGAGGATGATCCAAGGTTGAGGGCTCTTGCACCTTACCGTGTAGTGCTGGCTGGCGCGTCCGCCTGGCGCCTTTATTTGTTCGTTGTTGTTTTCAAAAGAGATGAGATGTGGGGAGATGATGCTGTTGCACTCTTCCTCCCCTCAGCCCCCGCAGAAAAGGAAAGTACATGGAAATTGAGAAGTGGACCTTCACCATATAATTATAAATGTGAGCATTTATGAGTCATTTTTCATCCTAATTGCGCTTGACAAACATTGCCACCTGTTTCAGTACCTGTATCAAGTCTTTCAGAGGCATTTGTTAGCTTCATCACCTCTTGAAAATACACAGCAAACCAGTGGCTGGACCAGTTGGAATCACTGGTTGTCCATCTCTCACCACTCTGACTTACTTTACCCAGAGCTTCCGTGGTGCCTCTGCTGGTCCTAGTCCCGCTTTGCAGACCCGGGCGTATCTTTGAGCGTGAACGATGATGACTTCTCCAAGTTGTGTGTACGTGTGCATGCTTGTGTGGTATGTTGCTGGTTTACCCATGAAACCCTGCACTGGGCACCCACAGGGGAAGGGGAGGTTTTTCTGCCGTTACTGCTTACTTGGTTTCTGTTAAATGATTATGACTTAGGTTTTAGGTATCGTGTATCAGTCAGAGGCCTCTCTCATCCATAAAGAACGCGCTGTATGAATTTGCTTGAACTTCCAGCGCTCTTATTAGAGCTGTCCTGTTTGCACGCGTTCATTCTCTCCTGTTAGTCGATTCCTGCGTTGCTGGAAGTTGTTTCAGTGTATGACCCAGGTAGCTTCATACTGCTGGGTTGGTGCTTGTTTACATCCTATTTCTGTTTGCTGGGTAAAAGCACCAGAGCAAGTATCAGAGAAGTTCAGAGGGAAATTTTGAGTTGATTATTAGTCCCTTTGTGGCAGCTTCTCGATCAATGTTGATCTGGCCACCCTGTGGAACTTACACCAGGATGCAAATGGGTAAATGTCAGATAGACTAACTCTGACAGTGGTAGTATTCAGTGAATTATGTTGAACTAAAAGTTTTTTTGTTTAAATAAAAAGCGCCCACTGTTGCATTAAAGGCAGCTATTTTCAGCAGGTTTTGGCTTGTAGATTCATAAATTATTTTTACTGACAGTATGTCCCCTTAGCTGTACTGCTAGTCATAATACATTTGAACTTGCATTTCGTGGCAGCCTTTTGCATATTCTTTAGAAATAGTCCACAGATCTCCAATGGTAAAAAACAACAATGCCATGTAAAACACATAATTAGTATGATGGAATTATTACTGTTTCCCTGATAGACCTTTCCAAAGCAAATATAGCTCTGAAAGGTCCAGTTCTCTTCTCACTTTCACCACTGTTGGTCAGGAATAGCTCTATACAGTCCACAGTGCTGGAATAACCAACAACTGGTAATAAAAGTAAGAAGTCAGATGTCTACTTTTTTTTTTCCCCCTCCATTTAGCATTCCTTACGAAGTGTATCTAATAAAAACAAAATTATTTTCTATAGGGGAAGGAGAAGATGTACCATTTTAAATTGGAATTCTAGAGCTCTTAAGGAAAGTGTAACTCTTAATATTTTCCCATAAGATGTGAGTACTATGTAAATACAAATTAATTCTGTGGCTTGCACAGCATGACTACATCTTTAATGCTGAAGTTATGACTATTCTACAGTCAGTAATGTCAAAGCTAGAGGTACATAACATATAATTAACCTGTAACACTCTCTGTTGTATTATATGACTAAGGATAATATTGTAGCATACTTCACAGAATAAATTAGACATATTAGGCTAGTCCCCATTTTCTTACTCTGATAAAATTTCTATTGCAGCCTAACTCGATTTTTCCTACGCAGACGTATATGTAATGATGGTTCAGCTAATGGTATTATCTTCTGTTGCACGGCTGGAATGACATTAGAAGAGCTATCAGCCCTGTGGTCTGCGAGATCTAAACTAATAGACACGATCTAGAATAACATTTCTGTCTGTGGTGCAGTACTCCAGAACACTGAGATAACTCACAGAGTGTAGAGTTTCCTTCCAGAGCATCAGACACTGGCAAAAGGCTTCTCAACTGAGAAATGGCAACTTCTGTTATCCAAGTAAACTGATGTATGCATATCCTTCTTAAATCACCTAGCTGTTTTATATCTTAACTATGGATTATATTTGTTTTTTAAATTTCCCATACCCATAGAAAATTTTATTAACAAATTGCTGTTTTCCTGATGTTTTTTTACCTCACCATACATATCCTTCTTTAATGTTATTTTCTGGTGTTTTAGAAGCTCCAGAATAGCTGCTCTTTTTTGCTCTTTAGAAACATGTGCTTAAACGTTAATTTACTTTTTTGTCTGAGTTAAAACATTTCACTTCATTCTAGTGTTTCTTCACAAACAATTTTTAACTGCCTCCTCCTTTCTGTATCAATTGTAGTAGCAATGACAGCACTTTAAGTTATGGCACACAGAGGAGGCTGGCAGTCTAGCCTTAATTTAAATATACAGAGGAACTGTTAGTCTGTGGAGAGCTTCAAATACAGCCAAATTGTGATGAAGGAGAACTTTCACACCAAGTTTAAACAGATTTATTAACTTGAAGTTTGGTGGAGTGCCCAGGAAACCATCCTGCCATTCTATTTGAAATCTGACTAATTTTTAAAATTAATGTTTGATCAGGTCAAGTCTATGAAGAGAACTGCCACCTGATGAGTTGAAGAAGTACTTATAAATTATATCAATTTGAAGTAAATTGATATAATTCTGTCCTTGGTTACACTGGGGTATAAATAGGATAAATTCATTGCTGTTAGGATTTGCTTCCATATTGCTGTCTTTTGGAGCAAATCAGAAGAGAGCCTACAATAGAAAATTCATTCATAATCGTAACTGTTGCATGCATGTATGTGTAATTTTGAGGTTTTTATTTCCTTTTTGTAACAATCTGAAGTATTTGCAAGAAAATATAGGGGGAAAATGTTCATTAAAAATGAATGGGAAAACTCTGAAGTCAGATACCAGCGTTTTTTGTATCCATGTTTTTTTTCATGTAAGTGGTTGCCTCTCCTCTTTATATTTTTCTGAAGTTTTTGTCTTCCACGTTCACTCACCATGCAGCTCACCACAGAGGAGTACCATCTGTGGCTATCAAGTGTTTTCAACCATCTTATGCAGTTTTCCTGGGTTTTCTGAATTCTGCAGGGTCGCCACTAACAAGCTGCTGTTGTTTTGAAAGTGCAAAACCCCCCTCACCGAATGGAAGATGCTTTGGGATACGTTCTTAGAATCACAGAATCATTAAGGTTGGAAAAGACCTCTAAGATCATCAAGTCCAACCGTCACCCCAGCGCCACCATGCCTGCTAAACTATGTCCTGAAGTGCCATGACTACACATTTTTTGAACCCCTCCAGGAATGGTGACACCACCACTTCCCTGGACAGCCTGTTCTGATCCCTGACCACTCTTTCAGTAACAAAATTTTTCCTGCTATCCAACCTAAACCTCCCCTGACGCAACTTGAGGCCATTGCCTCTCATCCTATCACTAGTTACTTGTCCTTCTTCATTTGTGACTGTAAATGCTATGGTTTTTTTGCTTCTGTAGTGACTTGGGCTGAGAGAGGTGTATGGCTGAATGGGCCTCTTTTATTCTGCAGGCTGTGCTCTTCCTTCTCCTCTTGCAGCTCTAAAATGCCAAAATGTCCCCATGGTCCTACTATGTGGATGGTGTGAGCAAAGAGGTCGTTCAGGACAGTTCAGTACTGCCTGTTTTTTGTGGATGCAGGTTCCTGGATACCCCTCAGGTCTGTTTCTGAGGTTAGACAGGTTTTGGAAAACCAAACCAAACCAACATGAGCCTTTCGAGACAAGGTTTGTAGGGTCAAGTGCTGCCTTTTTTTAGGCCAAGCTGATACAGTGGGAAAAAATAGACAAGCTTTCAAATATTTGAGGCTTTTCTCAAGTCATATATCTAAAACATCATGGCTACGAGAGCGCTACGCCTTGCTGCTGTGGAACAGCTATGCACTGTTCGAATCGGTAGTAAACAAGATTCTTTGGCTGAACTTGTGGCAGGAGGAACTTGAGTAGCTATAAAATAATGTGTCGCTCACTAAAGATGGAAGAGTTATAGAAATATGTCAGTGAAGTAACAGGGGTGAGGGTGGACGGATTGGACTCTAAAAACAAACATGTCTGTACAAACTGAGATGTTACTTGGTTCCTTCTGAAATAAAGTCTATGTATAAGGAGTGTTCAGGCTCCCTAATGAAGAAAACCTTATGAGTTTTTACACAGAGGTACTTGTCGGCCATCTAACTGAAGTGATGTTCATTTGCAAGCTCAGAACTCTTACAGGAAGAAAACTGCTTTGTGAACTGGAAATACTTTCAGATCTATATTTAGGTACTTTAGTGGTACTCAAGTGAACTTGGGCCAAACTCTTGTTTCACTTCCGCTAGTGAAGATGAGAAATAATAATAATAATAATAGTTAAGAATAAACTGAAATCAATGGAATCCCATCAATGGAAGTGAGGATAACCTGATTTTTTTTGCTTATACAAACAATAGAAAATAAACTGTTTGTTTTTTTTATTATGTGTATTTATTTATTATAAATAGTAAAAACTATCTCTTAAAAAGTGAATTTGTTTTTATCATACTTAGTTCTCAATGGTTTTGCGTGACGTGCATTTTAAAACGCTGCAGTGATTTTTCAGCAGTGATACCCTCTAATGTTCAAAGGAAACAAGTACTGCCAGGTGTGAATGCTAGTGGCACATCTCTGTTCTCAAACACAGGTTCATAGCTGTATAGCTCTACACGAAGCCCAGGTTGATGGGTCTGAGAGACAGCTCCTGTCCCCAGAGTGTGAATGTATGTGTACCATAATGCATCGAGGGCAGGTATGGCACTGAACATGGGCATGGCACTGAAGCGTGCCTGGTGGTTGACTGGAACTTGAGTATCTCCACTGGGAAATGTAGCAGTACTGTAGGCACAGTTCTTCTCACTCAGCTAAGGCTACAGTTAGTGTGTTCAACACATTTTGCTTTCAGTATACTTCCTGCAAGGAAGGCGTTAGTTTTTCAAATGAGGATGCAAAGCACCGAGACCTCAGCTCAGACTCAGAAAAGGCTCGACAAAGGCCTTACAAAGGTCCATGAACCTTTTCGGAGAAACTGAGTTTGTCTGCAGTGTGCTTAGGCTGAGAAAATAAGAAAGTCGTCGTTCTGGTGCAGAGCAAGCACAGTACAGGAATAGTTTCTTCTGGGAAAAAAAAATAAATCCTGCTAGCTGCAGCAATGGAGCTAGGCTTTTCAAAACTTACGTTGTCAGAGGTGTTGCTGATGCCTAGGCTTTGTCTAGATGTGTCTGGTGGTGCCCTGAGGGTACATAAGTGAGCTGACTCTGGATGAACTAACCTTGGTAGCAGAAAATGTCTCCCTGCATTGGCTGAGATTGGGCTTGCATGCAGCACTGCAATGCCAACCTTTCACCTGGACACAATTAATTTGGAGGGTTTATATGTAGTACTATGTAGGTGTGCCTAGAGGGCCAAAAAGTCTCAGAAAGCTGCCTGGTAGAAAAAAGTTTTAAAGGACCTGAGCTTACTGTGCGTAGAGGTACTCCCTCCAGCTCAATGAAGAGTTTCTGCTGATACATATAGCTGTACTGAGATTTTGCTGACTCTGGAAGCAATGCTAACAAAAGAAATGCATACAGTCTTCTACAAATCTGGTCTACATTGTTGCTGGGAAAAGGAGGGATATCAAGTCATAGGAATTGGGAGCGATACTGTGTTCAAGAGTTAGCTGTAAAGGGAGATATTTCCTGCCATCCAAGCCATCCATTCAGGTAGACAGTGCTGGAAGGCCTTGCAGGACTGTTTCTTCCTCTCTGCATTTAAAATAAGGATGCAGAAGACATATTCTTACACATTAGAGTGAGACAAAAGGTATTTGCGATTTATGGATATTTTTCAGCAGCAAAAATAAAGTTTTTCAAGAAATGATGGCTGAAAAACACCCAGCTTACCTCCAAACCCGTAAAATCTTTTGGATTGACAATTATAGTTTCTTCAGAGTGAGCTCGGATAACCTCTTCCAGCTAAGTACTGAGAGGAAGAGGAAAAGGAGAAGTGAATGATTTTCTAATGTCTACCCTAGCTTCTGTAATTAATAGAAGGGATAATTTGCTGGCTACTCAGCTGAATGATATACCAGCAATAGCATCATGGCCTTAATAAATTGCGAGGAACAGGAAAGAGTTTGTACTTGAGTGAATGTTCCACTCCCAGCAAGAAGCATCTGAGTCACCAAAAAAAAAAAATCAATCACTGAGATCAGGCAGCCAGGTGGTAGCTTTTGTCTTTTTGCTTTTTTGTTAAATAGCAAGATGAACTAAGGGGTGGCTAGTCTCTTTAGAAGTCTGGGCTTTGGGTGGATTGTGTCCCAATGTTTGCATTATTTCTGTCTAGTTGTCTTGTAAAACTTTTTTTTACCTGGCAGGAAGAATGGAGCAGCATTTTACGCATGTAATGCCAAGTCTACAACTGAATCAAATGGCAAAATTAACAGGCATTCAGAAGTGACTGGTTGGTTAGTTGTGGTGACTTTGTAGCAGACAAAAACACCAGAAGACCGAGCAAAGTGAAGCATATAAAATTCAGAAAGATTACTTTTATCTTATGTTGCTGTCATCCTGAGTGACTGCACCTGGGCACTGGTTCACAGCAGCATCATTTTCACCCACCGAGAATCTGGCCCAGATAGACTTGAGGGATGATACGGATAATCATTAAGGATAAACTAGACAATCATGAGAAACCTGTTTTCTGATGATAGAAAATTCCTGTTGCTATTTTGCATTGTTTAGGACAGAAAGGCAGAAAAATGCTTACTGTACTATCAGTTGGTTTAGAGGTTTATGCCATTATCTTGTAAACATGCACCTTTTTTTTTTTTTTATTCTAGGTGCCACAGGGACTACTAAAGATGTGTAAGTACTTACTCTACTCTTTCAAATATGTAACCCTGGACTTATCTTCAGTCCTACTAGCCTGCTGCTAGATTTAGTCATACATGATTCATCTGGCTCCTAACATATAATCAGCACCACCAGATGTTTATTGTCTTTAGTGACAGCTTCCATCTCCACAAAACAACTTTGTGTCTTGTTTACTTTTCTACAGATTCCTTTCCTTGTTGTTTCTCTAACATAAATGTCTTTTCTCTGCTTCTGTTGAGAGTTGTCTCGCAGAGGTGGTCATGTTACTTCAGACGTCTCTTCCCTGTCTTGTGCCAGTACACCTTTTTCCAAAAGCCATGTCAGTGTATGAAGCAACCACATAAATTTGCACCGAGACCTGTGAGAGATTTAAAGAGCCACAGAGGCAAATTTCCCCTCTTTGTGGCAGAGCTGGTAACCCATCCAGACTTCCTTTTCAAAGTACCCCCCTTCTCTAGATGTTGTCTGTGTTGAAGATAGTATCTATCGGCTCCTCTTTCTGTCCCTTATTTTTGAAGCTGAGTAGCAGAGGGCAGCCCTACCCATCCTGTTTTTCTCTAAATGTGGACGCTCTGAACCTCTGTTGTCCTGTTGCCTCTTGCCAGCTTCTGGTTTTCAGAAAAGCAACAACAAAAGATCAGCCTTTCTCAGCCCATTTTTCATTTGCTGATGCAAAAGTATGCAAGAACAGCTTTATTCAGCCATAAATTTTTTTCTCCTATCAAAGGAAGCATTAAAGAAGTCCTCCCAAGGTCTTGCCTTCTTCTATTTCATGTAATTGGTATTTGCCACTAGAGTGTGGGACTGCGGGACCTAGGAAAGATTTTCGTGTTATACAGTGGGAACATTCTTCAGTTTTATTGACTTCATTTAGAGTAACTACTTTAATTAGACCGAGGAATCCTGGTGTGGAAATGAGGGCTGTCAAGTCAGATAAACAGGTGGAGAGAAGAGCTTAACAACAGGCTTGCCCTTGCTATTACAGAGCATGGCTGAGAACTAACTACAGGACTCACTTGGCAGATGAACGCTGTTGTCACAGATACTATTGAGATCTGTGTTACCCATGTAGTCTGTTTTCTGTGTTTGCAGTGTCAGAAAATAAGCAAATTACAGAAGGAAAGCTTATGAGGAATCTCTTCTTGATGCAGCCTGCAGTATCTATGCACTTAAGACTTCTGTTTTTAATTTGTATGAGGGCCTTTTTTTCTTGCTCAGTTTAAATAATTTAAGTGACTGACTTAGAACTGCATCTCCCTCTTTGCTCTTCAGTAGTTTTAAGTTTCAAAATTGCAAGCACTGTTAAATTATGAATTTAGTAGGCAAGTTTCTGTGCTTAAAGGTATGGGTATATGCAGAATTGTGTTTGTGCGTGTGTAAGCATTTGTAGGGCCAGGCTTTAGGAGTTCAACTGGGAACATCCTGCTCATTAGTTTTAGATCATCTGTCGTGTTTCAAAGAAGCATCGGGATAACTTAGAAAAAACCAATTACTAGTGCAGACTTCAACAAAGTGAAAGGGTCAATCCTGGAACCATTACTCATTCAGATAAGTATAGTGGAGCCAGCCGAACAACCTGTGTGAGTAACAGCATGGTTGAGCCTTCTCGTTAGATGTTAGAAACACAGATCTGTTAATGACGAACAGCAGTGATGACCTGAGAAGTCCTAAATCAATCATCCTAACAATTAACAGTGGATTTTTATGAAGGAAGTAAAATACCAGAAAAACTATTTTATTTAATGGAAATGAAAAAAGCAGATTTATATTAGCTAAAATTATAGATCCACACAAGCTTTTATTTTATACCTTTTCACTTTTATCAGCTAAAGATTAAGAAATGATCTTTAAAAACCCCACATTATTTTGGCTGTGAAATTTCAGTCATATCGATTCTGGTCCAGAAAAGCATTTAGGTGTGTCCTTACATAGAGCATACTTTTTGGTACAGAATCTGGTGATTCGAACTCAAGAGATTTCTCATTTCTTGACTGTGACCCATTGCCAAGGCACCAGTGTCTCCTGGCGCGAGAAGCTGGGGTGGACGGAGGGAGGATGGGATCCTGCTCTGAGCCCCCCCGGGTGACTGTGGGGAAGCTGCTTTCCCCTCTGGGCCTTGAGTTTTTCCACCAGTGAGATAGGGATGATGATACGATCTTGCTACGCAAAGTGCTGTGAGACTGAGGGCAGCGCAGCGACGAGAAGGACGTGTGGTCTGGGAAGTGAGCTCTCCCTGTGTACTCCAACCCTGAAATCAATGGTGAATCTGTCAGCCGGCTTCAGCCAACACTGCTGCCCCACTAATAAGGAGAAGTACGTCACCACTAACTGGAAAAGCTTAGACATAGGAGGGGTAGAGTATACAATAGAAAATAATGCAATGCCTGAGATATTTAGAATGTCGCTGAGTTCAGAGGAGGATTAGTAACAGTAGGAAGGAAAGGACACAGCAGTTCAAGCTTATTTCAAAATATTGGGAAGAAATCCATCAAATATGAGTGACAGGCCCTTGTTCCCAAGAAATGCTGAGAAGCTGCGAAGTAGTCTGTTACTTGTGAAGAGTTTAGTGAATCATTTCTGGGGGGACTACTGCGCACGGCTAGACAGAGTCTTTTTAATGCTCGGCGTGAACAGAGTCATAAAAGCTGAGATAAGAAAAATGTGGATGGAATTAATTAATGTGTATGCCTGTCATTTGATATTTAAAATATCATGTGAAAAATGACAGCTTCTTTTACCATCAAATGGACATAGGGCTGATGGATGTAAAAACTGACAGTTAAACCAAGTATGTTTTTCAGACTTAGGAGGGTGACATGAAACCTCTTGGGACAGAGAAATCCTTGCCAAAAAGGAACATTTATTCTAGCTGAAAATAGAATGCTGTTATGTGGATTTGCTGTTAAATCTGCCTGCCGGCTACAGGACTCCACCAATGCTACCTGCTGAAAAATGTGCTCTCCGTTCCTCTGCAGTAGATGCCAACAATGTCTGAGGGCAGATACAGCGACATGGCAGCAGACCAGTACAAAGCACGCCGGACTACTAAATTTCTTTTGCCATCTATTCCTGGTGAAGAAAAGCTTATCTTAGCTTGCTCTTCCTGAAGGACTGTGTAAATGAAGATATTTAGAGATATTTTTATGCTAGGTTCTTCCTTCGCCCCTGATGTAAGAAGAAGCTAGAGACACATTGCAGGTAGAGAGGGAGAGAGAAAGGATGTGCTGGACTCCCATATCCCCATACCCTCCCTTTGAGTCTGGGAGATGTGGCAATGGGAGCGCTGCTGAAACCAAAGGAGCTTCTTTCCATTCTCATTTCCACATGGTTGAGTGTTGCCGTTGCAGCCCTGCTCCCTGGAGCCACTGATGCTCACCCAGCCTGGGCGCAGAAGCAGTATCTGCCGCAGTGGGTCAGCTGGCACCCTGGACATTTGAACAGGTGAAATTAGTAGACACCTTTCAAAATGGCAGCTTAAGCTACACTGTGTGAAGGCAAGAGGTGTGTGAATGTGTGTAATGCGTAAACTGGAGAAGCACTCT